CCCCCCGCCCCCCGCCAATCAAAATACCTGGACTCTTTCTCGGTTTGCGAGTGTGGTTCACGGACAGGGTCATGCCAATGTTCTCCTTACGTCTTTCGATTTTAACGGATATTCCGGAGGGCTCCTTTCTCTCTGTTTCTTTCTTCTTTGTTTCCATCAAATATTGTTTTCCTTCACTTGCCGCCCCCCCCTCCTCTCCCCCCTCCCCGCTCCCTCTCCACTCCCCCTCCCTTTGCCATTCAACCCTCCAATTTTCTTTCTTTGGAACGTGAGAATAGTGATATAGAGCAATTGTAAAGGTGACCGCTTTTTTCCTTTGGTTTCTTCTGAATGGGCAGGCATCTCTCAGCAACATGCTGGAGAATAGAAACAAAGGGCCGCGATAAACTAACTACACAAGAATCTACATTCATTTGGACGCTTTCTGGACCCGATACTTCCAAAATGTTGGAGTCGTTTGAGTGCACTCAGCCCAGAAACCGTCCAAGTGCATGTAGAGTGTTCTGCAGTGGAGCAAGGACCCAACTTTTTTGCAGAATATCACAGCGTTAGTTCTTTCTCGTCTTGTGTGAATTTTACCTTCCACGCAGCGGACGTCTAGTCGAGGTACTCAGTCCACCAAGGGAGAGTGGTCAGCGGACAGAGGTGCGGGATTGGTGTAGAGACTTTTAGCGGGATCGAGAGAGGCAGAGAGAGATGGGTGATCGCCAAGGGGCAGTTGCAAAATCTGGGCGTCTCGGTGGCTTTGGGGGAGGAAAAGCGTCGGCAGCCATGGGCAAAGCCACAGGCACGGCACAGGCGGGCAGACCGAATGCAACGCGTCCGCGGGCAGGTGTGCATAATCAGCCGCGGAGGGGCTGGATGCTGTTCGACTGTGCGATGCTATGTCTGCCATCAAGCTGGGCAAGTCGGTGGATCCGACGGCGGTATTGGTCGTACATGTCCGACTCCGAGCTTGAATTCGAGGAGTTCGGAGAACAGCCGGTCTGGTTCACAGGGACCGCAAGGCGGGAAATTGAGGTGGGCCCGCGCACGGATTACCGGCCCCCATCCGCCGGTGGAAAGCTGATTTGTTCTTTCTATAAGCTGTTGCTCGATGTGAGTAACGTTGCTGATTGGGCAGCAGTGATGATCTTCGCTGCCATGTTGGCGGCCTATGGTGTTGCGGCTGCTGGCTCGACAGCGCTATTCTGGTTGTCAGTTGTTGCGTTGTTGCAGGGGTTGTTGTCCATCTTGATGACAGCGGCAAAACGGTCAAAGACGGGAGCAGACCGAGGGGCAGAGGTGCCCTGCAGCTACTGGCTGTCCAATCCCCCACGCGAAGGAATTGCTGCGCAGATGAACAGCCGATTTCCGATGCTGCTAGTAGATGACGCACAAGAGTTGTTCAACCATGTCGGGAAGGGGGTGGTTGGTGCCATTCTTCTTACCGTAGGCCAAGACGAGATAAAGAAGCTGTCTCTTAGCGATGTGGAGAAAAGTTTTGGTAGGAAGGATCTTCTGTCCAAGCTTCTGTATGTGGGTGCTGTCTGCTTGAGCCTCCAGCTCGCCACGGCATTCATGGATGTGGTTATGCATTTCGTGAAGGAACGCAATCCGGGCCTGAAGGCGTGGATGTCGCATTTCGTCCGTCACTCGAAGATGCCTGGGGCGATGACGCACGACAGCGAGTTGTGCGGCCTCCCCGCGCATTGGTTCATCGGGTTGAACGATCTGAAGCTGGCGTTGGGATGGGCCATACAGCGACGGCACCAGTTCCGCTTGAGGCGCACCCGGTTCGGAGTCTTCTCGTACAGATCTCTCAGCGTGCAAGCGGATCTCGGCGCGGAGATGGAGGTTTCCGATGAGGTTGTAGACCGGTACACAGCCATGACCCTCAGGGCTCTTCAGGGAGCAAGCACATACGAGGCGGGCCGCAAAGAGATCCTGGAGAACAACGGGTTCGAGCTGATCTTGTACGCCCTCAGGCCAGACAGCGATGCAGAAGTCCGTGTGCAGGCAGCGCGCGTCATTGACTCGTTCTTCCTGAACCTTGCGCGCCAAGCTTTTGCGGAGGGCAAGGTCAGTGCCTGGGCGACAGGGGCATTCCCGGTGCTGGGCGGCAAAGCTGGTTCCCGGCCACTGCTCCAGTGGCATGCTCCGGGGGCGTTGGGCAATCAGACGGCGCAGCTGATGAAGGTCGGTCCCAACTTCCTGGACGATGAGATGGAGAATCTGTCGGCCTACTATCTCCGCGCAGGTGCCATTTTCTTGGTTGACATGGTCCAATCCAAGCAGATGACCGTTGAGCAGAAGGAGATCGCCGCGAAGGCCTTGCTGGCACTGGTTATTGCAGCGGGTACCAGTGTGTCAAGTGCGTATGGGACAAGAGCGAAGCATCGGGAGCTTAGCACTCTCCCTCGTTGGATGAGGACAACGCCGACCGAGTTGTTCGAACTCCCGTGGGAAGTAATTGGAGGTGCGAGGAGCCGACGACCGTCCATGGGCGCAGCAAATGCTGCTCCGCAACGAAGGCCATCTCTCCCCGGGCCCCCGCAGAGGAGCCCGTTTACGGCAGCTGGGGAAAAGGTCCCGCTGATTGAGCCTCCAGCGTCACCGAAACCTGCAGCGTCGGGTGGCGGAAGCGGAGGGGAGGCTCCCAGCGCTGGTGGCGGACCTGGTGGTGCAAAGGGCGGTGCGGTAAGTAACAAGCCAGCACCAGCAAGTGCAGCGCAGGCCGGAGGGTCTGGCTCAGCTGCTGAACGAGGAGGGGCAGCAGCTGGAGGTGCTGGTGGACGTGCCCCGGCAAAAAGTGGGGCAGGGGCGAGCCCCGCAGGTCCTAGAGGTGGCGCTGCATTGGCTGCCTCGCGCAGCATGCCTCCTCCGGGAGGGTCACAGCCTGATGCTCCAAGGCAACGGAGTTTGCCAGGGTCCCCTACCCGAGGCCCCGCTGTGGCGCCTGGAGACCCTGCGGCAGCGCGGCGGCGAAGCAGCAGTGGTGGTGACATTGAGAGCGGCAAACCTCTGCAACAACCAGCACCTATTGTCCGCCGTCCCTCGATCGCTGAACGTCTTGAAGAGTTTGTAGGGTCTGTGCTTGACATCCGGCAACAGCCAGCAGCGGCCGCGGGTCCGACTCGCATTGACCATCATGCTGTGCAGAGCCGTCGTGCATACAAGGAGACGTGGCCTTGGCTGGCCGTTGTATCGGGAGTGACGGAGGAGGTGTTCGCTGCCTGTGGCGAACCGAAGGAGGAGAATCAGGGACATGATTATAAGCGTGAGATTATGCGCGAGGGATTCCGGGTGTCCAGCATCAAGGCCCTGATGAATGCCTCAGAGCTGCACAGCAACTCAGTGGAGTGTCGCGAGCTTGCTCTCAATATCCTGAACGAGCTCTGCGCAGACGAGATATGTCGTGATATATTCTTGAACAAGCTCAAGGGAATGAACATGATGATCCGCATGGTTGACCCTCTTCCGGATACCATCTTCAAGGTCATACGTGTGGTGGACAACTACAACTACGAGCGGGAGATCAACGCACTGAAGCTGCGCTCCACACCCGTCAAAGTTCGTATGGCCACTGTTTTCCTCTGCCTCAATGCTGACGATGAGTGTAAGATCATCTCGAGACATAAGTTGGACACAATGGAGCGGTTCGCATTCATCATGATTGCCCTCTCGGCGGACTTTCTGCCCTCCATCCCCTCCGCAGGAATGTCATTCCGTGTCATAGATGCTCTTCATGACGGCACGATGCTGTCTCGTCGCCTCCCTCGATCGCTGATGAACAGGTTCCACGATTGGCAGTCCAATCCGCTCTATGACCTCTTGCAGCAGCTGCACGCTGTGACTGCGCACATGAACTTCGCTCGCATATTACACAACCTTGTGCAGAACTTCTCTGCCGACTTCAGCAGCGGATTCCGCCTGAGTGACGCAGAGAAGCAAAAGAGGCAGCTGAGGTATCGGGAAGAACTGGACATGTACGACAGGATGTGGGTGAGGCTGGGCCTTGCAAGGCGGAAGATAGTCCGGCTGATCCTCTGGCTCAGCTGCAACTTCCCTCACTTTTTCTCAAAGGAGGCTAACTTGGATTTGATCTTCCGTTTCTCTGAGCATGAGGCAACTGACACGGAAGCCCCACATACATCATCAGGACGAGGCTCTGCTGTGAGTCAGCCCGGCATGTCGCTGGTGCAACGGTACCTGAATGACAGCATGAATCTGTGGAAGGAAGACCTGCGTGAGGGAAGGTACCACAGAGATGACGAGTGGATGCGTCATGAGATGTCCGCAGAGCTCTGGACGGCCTGGAGAAAACTCTACGCCTTGCAGTCCCACACACCTACGACGTTTGAGGAGTACTTGAATGAGCCAATGTTGTTTGGCCCCGCAATGTTCCTGGCATCCACAGAGCAGACTGATCGAACGCGCAGCAGTTGCGTCATGGACTGTCTTTATGTCCTCATCGACTCCCTGGTGCTAACCCTCCTTCATATGGAGTGTGCTGACTCGCTGGCCACAATTCCGCAGTCGAAGGAGGTGGTGGCAACTCGCGTCACGGCCACTGGTGAGGCAGCTGTGGACGCAAAGGATGGATGGAGCGGAGGGTGGCAGTTTATGATGGATGTGGCTGATGATGGCAAGCTGGCGGCTGAAATCCTCCTTAACGAGGACAAGGATGACTTCATGCGCGGAGCATACTGCCGGAAGGAAATCCAGAGGAGGACTGCCACGGCCCTCGTCAGGATCTGCCAGCTGCATGAGCACTTGCGCATTTGCGTGGGCAACAGCTACAACCTGCGCTCCAACGTGGGAGCCCTGCGAAGCCTGAATCTCTCAGTCTCTCAATCTGAAACTGAGGATCTTGCGCAGATCATTAACATCAAACCATCTAGTTAGTATAATCCACTCACACGATCTTCGTCTCTATCTCATCCTCTCAAGTTTATTTTTGGGTTTTTTTGGGTTTGTCCGGGTTGTTTCTAACTTGCTAGTCCTTCAGTCAACTACCTTCTTCACCCGAATAGAACCTGGTCATTATAGCTGTATTTGATGCATTTTTCAGTCCAGATATGGCCATAATTACCGGGCGTTCTATTCGGGTGAAGACGGTAGTTTGGTTGCAGAGTGTTGCGTCTGTGTCAATAGGTTAGCTCGTTATCGTAGTTGAAGTTCCGTCTCCAGTGACACTGTCTGCGCTCGTGCAGAATATAGAATGTAAGGTGCTAAATCGATGAGCATTTGTACTACAGTCTAGTAGTGCAGGGGGTGTATGTCCTTACAATTACTGCAAAATGGCTATCAAAATTAGTCATCATATTCTCCATAACTATGTGGAGACTAAATATTTCAATGGTCGTTCTCCCAGTCGCTGGGTTGACCGACTGCTTAGTAATACAGTTAAATACACACATTCTTACCTGCCGGGTATCGGGGAGGAGGGAGGAAGACTGAGGAGTTAAGAAAACCTCCCTCAGAACCCGGGTCTTCACATTTTACAAAGGATCATAATGGGATTGCCTGTCCCAGTAAGGAACACCTCAATTACATAAAACAGGCTCTGACAATACTTAGTAGCTGATGTCCCTTTCGGAAGGGGACGTCTTTAGTCATAGGTAACCATTCTGCGGGTTACAGGTAGAACAGCCAGCTGAATATAATAATAGCAATGCACTGACGATTTGATTCATAGCTGTATTAGCTGGTACTTCATAACATGTTCTACTAAGGGCTATATTTACAACAATTCTTTGGAGATCGTAATGGTAACGAGCAGGATCCACTGGCGAAAGATCCCTGCCGTGTGTTTGCATCATTATCGTCGTGACCTAATAATCCGACTGTTCGTTCCAGTTAGTCTGAAATCGACGGCTGCTGTAGCTGAACAGTCGTAAGTCTATACTTCAGAGGCTCCATAGTTGTCTATCCGTAGTTAAAGCTTCGTGTACATATCAATGTGTTAGGTATAGTTTCTTAGAGTCTAGCTAGGTAAAGCTCCATCAGCCTCCATGTGCTACACCTCAGAGTCTAGCTAGGTATTGACAGATCTTCATTAGATATTTGCCATGTAGTGTAGTGTAGTTATTACAGATTGGGTAGGAGTGACTGCCGATTTGGGGTCTGATAGAAGTCAATATTGCGAAATTTATAGTTTGGTTGCAAGTCAAAATTTCAAAAAAAATCATTCCTGCCAGGAACAATGCACGTATACACACTCGACGTAAAAAAGTCAGGGCAACTCGGAAACCGAGTCATTAGGCCAAGGTATCCAGGATGACAGTGTCTAATACACAGTCTATCAATAGCACCATTTCCGTCTGTGCCAGCATGGCACACTATCTGCTATAGGAGGTGAAGACTGAAATTGCTGACAGTCTCAGAGACTGGTACAGGTATAGCTGACACAAAATACCGGTTTAGACACTCCATTAACTGTACATCTAGAGGTATCATGGTAGGTATAGAGTCTATAGATTGACCATCTCTATAGGTAGGGATTGCGAAATCAACACTAAATGACTTCAAATGGAGTTTGTACGACATCTTGTGTATAGCTATTACAGGTACTGTAGAAGTGACTGCCGATTCAGAGTTTAATAGAAAGTAATTGCGGGTTTGCAGTTTGGTTGCTCCTAGTGTAGTCAATAGGCATTCGTCTTTTTTTTCATTTTTTTTAAAATATAAGACTCTGGTCACTCTGCGTGACCTAATAGGTATAAGACTCTGCGTGCCCTAATAGTCATTCTTGTCAGGACCAATTAGCCCGTCTTTTATGTATTTGTGTGAGATACCAGGCAAGAAGGAAACTTCTGAGTTATTTTCCCAGCTCATCTGCCATTACAGCATCTACCTATCTTAGCGTTGCAGTGTCTGCTATCAAAGGCAGACAGTGCTGTATGGTGTTATCCTCTCCTAGGAGAGAGTGGCTACTTTCTTCCCCCGAATACAACGTACGGTCATTGTAGCTGTATTTAGACTGGAATGTACCCCAAATACAGCTATAATGACCGTACGTTGTATTCGGGGGAAGAAGGTAGTACCAGGTCAATGTATGTGCTAAAGGGATTGGACCTGACCTGCTCTTGGCCTAAAGCAGGGTATAGATTATGAAAAGACCTGCTATTGGGCTTAAGCAGGACATTAAGCTTCTGAGAATATGTTACAGTAAGTAGTTCACAAGGCTCGAAGAGTTGTCCTGGGCGCTCAAGGGTTCCTATCACAATGGCTCCATCCCATGGGCCTGCTTTGTGCACCTTGTGACCTTGGCACGATATCAAACGCGCATAGTGAGTACCGAAGGAGTCCATTTCTTAGCACATGACGTTCTCCACCTTGTGACCTTGGCAAAGGCTCGAAGAGCAGACGCTTAGCGTCTGAATCCCACGGTCTCGTCAGCAGAGTTGCTCCGTCCAAGAAATCACAGGAAACACTTCTTTTGCGGGAGCATCAAGTGGCTGGCCAGGGCAAACTTGTGGGGGTGCTTATAGTGTTTTTTTTTTCCGGGCAGCAATAACTGGCTTGGCCATCAGGCACCCATCACTAAAATATTTAATCTGTCTCAAGGGCCTATGGATTGGGTGTTGTTGTTTTAGTTTGTGTTTATGGTTCTGGTGTAACAATTATTCGGCATGGTCGCGGTACTTATGGGATCGATCACCAGAGCTCGGGGCCCTGCTGTGACAGTGGTCTCCAGCTTTTTATTCCCCTTTCAAGTTTTACTTAAAAGTTAAAAACTATCGACTTTTGTACAACCATACTAAAACTATTGACTTTTGTTTATTATTTTTACAGCAGACATGATGCTGTCACATGCATAATAATAAGCAGCTGCTCAGTAAAGCATTTGCGTAAGGAAGGACACTCAGTCTTCGCGTTTGCCCTTGCTGCAGCTTGCAGCCTTAATGTTGCTGCCTCTTAACTTCTCAGGCATTGCCTGCTTGACCCCGGGACGACCGTCAACATTGGCGAAAAGCTGCTCCGCTGTACGAGAGGGGGTTCCAATATAGGGCTGGATTCTTCTGATATAGCACCCCAGGAGCGCTCTTATGCACCATCATGATATGGGGAGTCGTTGGGGAGGTGGCACAAGGAGGGTTAAGGTGAAGGGTGCGAACCAAGGGTGTGTGCCGCGGTGGCAGTGGACACTGGGTAGATGAACAGAGAAAACAGGCCTTCGTCAGTTTGAAGGGGGTTGTTGGTACTGCCAGGATTCATTAGCTCAGTTAGCTGGCTTGTCCTGGGAATCTGGGATCGATTGGCTGATGGACTGTCGTTAGATGCAGAGGTACGAGGGGGTCTTCCAACCGAGAGGCTGTGGCAGTGACTGGCTTAAGCGATAGAACAGTCCTCTGCAAGTGAGGGGTACCTTAGCTGGCTTGCCAGATCAGTGCCGGAAGCAGATGCATGATACACTCGTTTTCTGTGAGACAAGTTGGTGCGCTGTGTTGGAGCGAATCCCTTTCTTGTGCAGCAGAGCTGTAGATTGGCATTCTCGTGGGGAATGCACTGTTAACATTGTTAAGTAGTGGCTGGGGAGCGACGGAACGTGGGTGAAAAGGAATGATCTTCCCTTTCTATAGAAAACCTCTTGGTGTGTCAATTTGCATTTATTATGAATGCCTGTCAATGGAGAATCGAAGAAGAGAGCACTGCTACAGTTGTAATCGAGTGTCATGTCCACTGTCCACCAGTTTGGTTGGCCTCACTTGCAGTTGTTGCTGTCTGCATGACAATTATGGACGTCCTTCCCTCCCTACCTCCACTACCTTCTTCACCTGAATAGAACGCCCGGTCATTATCGCTGCATCTGGACCGAAAGTTGTGCCAAATTCAGCTATAATGACCGGGCGTTCTATTCGGGTGAAGACGAGTTTCGTGCTTCAGGTTGCCTGTGAATTTTCAATTTTCCCTCCTGCCTCTGTCCCTCGTACTATAGTATTTAGTATTTACTCGTTTTTGTCTCATTGTGTGGCGTGCTGCAGATGTGGCTGGCTGTTCGGTATATGCAGAAGTAAATGCTATTCTGTTCTACTAAACAGCAATTTGAATCAAATGCCAAAGAATAGGAAATGAGCTTGGCATGTTTCAGATGCTAAAGACCCAGTGCAACCCCTTTTTTTATCACGTCCTCTCCTGTGAGTACGAGGAACTGGTGTTGTGGGGGATGGATGATGATCCGGTGTGGTGGGTGTACCAGCCTGCTGTCTATGTCAGTTATCGTATGTAACGAGCCAAAAGTCGATCCTTTGATGACGTCCTCTCCTGACACTATTATCGACTTTTGGCTTGGTCATTTCTGACACTCTTATCGACTTTTGGCTTGTAGGAACTGGTGTTGTTGGGGATGGATCTTTGTTCATTTCTGACACTCTTCGCTCGTTACGTACGAATCGGTACGATAACTGACTGAGACAGCAGGCTGGTACACCCACCCTGTCATCCGCATGCAAGTACGATAACTGACAGAGTAACTGCAAACACCCAGATCCAGATGCGGTTAATGGAGGATCCATCTGACAGTGTCCAGCGAGTGAGGATTCTCTTTTATATGAAAGCGAAGTTGTAAGGTTGTTTCGGTTTCAAACAAGGATTCCGAACTGTGAGTCGCTGTGTGTAATCTTCAGAGTTTGAATTTGAAGTTGGTCTCTTCATCAACATGAAATGCGAACTAACTATAAAATAGATACCATTTTTAAAAAAAAATTCCAGGACCTGTACTAACAAGCGGATGCTCCAAAGATCATCCCGTGTCAGTCAGCAGATGCTCCGTTGTGTGCCACTAATATGAACTGTAGATGTACTGGTACAAACTGAACGGTCATGGACGAAAAGGATTTGATAAAAGAAGGCAAGGACAATGTATCTCTGTGTCAGTGCACACTGGTGGAGTGAATGCGGAAGTAAAATGGCGAAGGAAACGGTACCACTCACTGTGAGTGAGCTGGCCACAAGCAGCTTCACGGCGTGAACTTTCGTAATCATATTGATTTGCTAAACTTCTTCACCCTTCTGAGACTTCTCTACCCTTTCCTTTTTTTCGTTTCCCATGGAGTGTGCGTGTCATCCTTGCTCAGGGGCCATGTTAATTTTCTCTGTATTGTTCCAATTTTAAAGGATGTCCTGAGGGAGACTGCCCACTTTTTGAACGCGTTTTTACGCCTTGACCTTGATTGCCCACAATCTCCTCCCCTTCTTTTCACAGGACCACCACCCATGCCATCAACCAAGTGATTGCATACAGTATGACAGCATCCATCCGTACCGACGTCGAACAGCGAAGGACTGCAGCCAAAGTGCAGGACCACAGAAAATAACGAGAAAGACAGCCAAAGTGAAAGTATCAGACACACAGAATGCTGAGTAAGACAGTAAGGAAGGACCGTGCAACGAGAAGGACGGAGAAAAGAGTAGCAGACCAACACGCAGATATAAATCCCGAACGCGACTTTCTTAAAATTTTCAATGAAGCTGGCGACTAGGACCCGACGTTTCGGCCGGCTGCGTCCGGCACTACTCAGGGGTCTTGGTCGCGGAAGGTAGCGATGGGACTCTACCCATCCTATTTATATCCTGCATATTAGCCGAACGACCTCGTCAGCAAAAACAGAGAGTACCAACAGTACCGGTTTCGAACCGTCGACCTCAGATCCTACAATACATGAGTCGTAAAACAGGATACCACAACACCTAAAAAACCAGTCGCGTTCGTCAAAAAAACGAATCCTCGAGAATCATCTACAACTAAGAACCAAACTCAGCCTGTCCCAGCCACTAGTTGACAAGGGTAAGAACCCATCTTCCATCTCCTCATCATGCGGTCCCAGCCAGTGAGAAAAGCAATCCATCCACCCCAACAGTTAGCAAACTTGCGGGAAAAATCGACAAGAGCACCGTCAAAAAATATTCATCCGGATATCCACAGTTAGCAGCCACAGTTCGTTCTTCAAAGTTAGAAGAAAATGGAATAGGAATAGATGTGAATGTCCTGGCTCGATGTAAGAACGAACCAATGACAGCAAACTTCTGCTGACGACTAGAATAAGACCGAAAATCGCAAATGCTCCGAAATCTGAGCATAAAGTTGATGTCCTTCTGCTGATTCTTGTGTGTGGCTTGACAAACCACTATCGAAGGGCGATGCAAAACCCTTAGCTCACATACAATGAACTGCCACCGCTGCCCATCCTTGCTTTGCTCCAACGTCAGGCCTTCATCATAGCATCTACGAAACGTACTCATTATCCGCATGGCTCGGAGTCTGGAGCTATCATCATCACATAGATACTCCACGAACACTGAGACATCATCAACTACTCTGCAACCGCGCACACGCCTCCTATCTGTTCCTAGCGATGCTAGAAAAGAAAACTCGTTGTGTGTGCAAAGGAGGCAGGCCAAGGCACTGAAGGCAGGACTGGTAGTTTTCCCCATCGGAATTCCCACCACCTGCTGAGACAGCTGATCTGCTACCACAACAAATGTACCATGTAGCTTATACTCCACAAATGCAATCATCATCTCAAACGAGACGAAAATCCACCCGTCCTCTCCCGGCTCACCCCTGCCTTTGGTCAACATTACCATCTTCCTGTGTATGCGTACCAGAATTCCTTCCTACGGTATTCTCCCCCAGCCAGTAATCAGTGACCCATCTGAGAGCCGAGATAATGGAAAGGTGGGGCAAATTCGAAAACATTTCCTTGATATCGAATGATCCACCAATCGACACACAGTCCTTCATGCCCGTATTGATGCGACTGATCCTCCGCATGAGGTCGTCGGTCCGTCTCAGATTAAAATGCATGCTCTCCGGAAGTTTCCACAGTACAAAATTGACAGCATGAGATACCCGCCTAGCCCCTACCACCGAACATGTTTTCTGCATGAGGTCGTCGGTCCGTCTCAGATTAAAATGCATGCTCTCCGGAGATCCTCCGCTTCTCTACGTCTTTATGCCTGTCTCTTATACACATCTAGATGTGTATAAGAGACAGGCATGAGATACCCGCCTAGCCCCTACCACCGAACATGTTTTCTGCATGAGGTCGTCGGTCCGTCTCAGATTAAAATGCATGCTCTCCGGAGATCCTCCGCTTCTCTACGTCTTTATGCTTTGGTATGCAATATGCACATCCAAATTTCCCATGTTTTTCCACAGCGTTCCCATCTTAACAAATCCACTTCTATCGAAATGAGTCTCCTGTTTACAACGGTTTATGACCAAGGCTTTGGAGTCTTCCACTTTGACAAACGCCGGGTTCGTCAGGAATTTCTTCATACTGCATCCATACACCACCGGGCAGCACACGTATGTGTCTCCCGGATTGTGGTCCAACGGAGAACATACTAACCCTGCCAACTTATTGAGAGAAAGAACCTCATATGAACATGACACGTCACGAACTTCTTAGTTTCGGAGTCAAGAATACAAGTAGAAAGAAGATCAGAATGAAGAAGCTCAGATTGAATAGGCGGAAGAGACCACAGATTTATAAAAGATTGCAGAATTTGAATACGGAGACTAGAAATATGTTCACCGGATGAAGGACAAAGAACAGGCAGGAACGTAATCGGAGAAATCAACAGGCAGTAACGTAATCGGAGAAATCGCTGAAACAAAATGATGCATGCCCTTTGACACGAGGAAAGTCAGTCTCCACATTCATACAACTACATTCAAAATTCCCACTCTTTCCGACCGACCGATGATTGAGAATCAGATCCCCAACGAACTGATTCCGACACCAGACCACCCTCATACGACGAATCAACATATCCCTCCATGCGAGCTCAATGTTCAAATTTCCCAATAATCCCGCACACACCTTGCGAATAGCGGATTTGCAATATTGGTGGTCGTACACGACTCGAATCACCACTCTAAGGCAAATGCAGATACCGAGCCTCAAGGAAATAGCACGAGATAACATACATTAACAACCACGAGTCCATGAATAGCCGAAAAGGCATAAACAAGTTGACAAAATTCCCACGTACGCAGACAACTTCTAGAGGAAGGTTGTTTCAGAAAACCCACCAAACAGGGTTTCAAAGCCAGCCCCCTTTGACAGAACGGTGCGACAACTTCGAAAGAAATCAACATACCCACCGTCAACCACCCTTCGACATTCTGCAATTGGTCACAACGAAAAGAAGAGGACACGATGGAAGAACTATAACAGCGTCTGAGCACCTTCCAGTTATCGAGAAGAACAGATCCTCCTCTAAATGCAATAGCCGCTAATGAGTCCATCGCCTCTACCCTCGTTCTGGATCCTCATCAAGCTATGAGATGCCCCCTACCCCCATCATACACAGAGTTACGAACAGACAGTGCTCCATACTTCTGACCAAGTTTCTTCATTTTCCTCTTTCCCGGTCTCTTCTTTCTCGATTTTCATGGTTTGTTCTCAGCATTGAGCGAAGCGGAGAAATAGCGAATAAAGAACTTCTCTACACATTTAACATCCTCTTCGGAACAACAGAAAATAGGAATTGCCACATACTTGCCTATGCCGTACCTTTGAAGCCACCTGTAGAGTATAAAAGAAGACAATTTTTTTGTCCACGGAATTTTTTCCAATAAGATTAACGCCACGACAATCAATTGAAACATATCATCCACCAACTTCGTCCGCAAGCACTGAATCGAAGAAAGTTTGAAGCACATACATGCAATAGCCAACGCCCACAGGTTAGCCGCGCTCGGGAGGGATCCTAAGAAGTCGCCGAATCCCTCCCATCCTCTTGGTCTTCGTGCAGCGGATCACCTGCGACGTCATCAGACACTTCCTGAATGGCAGGTCCTTTGCCAAACACCCTCTCAACGCTCTCGGCAATAATCCCCGCAATGGTATGGCTAAGAGTGGTGTACTTGACACCTTCTTTTAGACAAATCTCGGTAACAACATCCTTCTTCTTATCTCGCAGCTGCTTCTTCGCTTCCCGAATGGAGGCTTCTCGGTCAACATCGGTATTCTCATCGATATCTCCAATGACATCTTTCTTCTTACCTTTGCAGGACTTGTGTACAGTCTTCCCTTCATTATCCACATCATCCAATTGA